CGCAGCGCCTGGGTCAGCCTGCCCCCAGCCGTCCCGCGGAGAGAAGTGCGCGCTCTCCGCTGACGGCGGACGTGCCGCGTCCCCTGCGCCCCAGGGCAGGTGCAGACCCGCGAGTGCATCGAGGCCGTGATCCGCTTCGCCTTCGAGGAGCGCCTCTTCCTGATGGCTGATGAGGTACTGGCAGGGGAGCGTGGGGTGGGCGGGGGCAGCAGCGGGCGCCTCCGGTGACGCCGTCGCCCGTCCAGGTGTACCAGGACAACGTGTATGCCGAGGGCTCGCAGTTCCACTCGTTCAAGAAGGTGCTCATGGAGATGGGGCCGCCGTACGCGGCGCAGCAGGAGCTCGCCTCCTTCCACTCGATCTCCAAGGGCTACATGGGCGAGTGCGTGTGGGCCGGGAGGGCGGGTGCTCGCGGACCCCCGCCTCTTCCGGCCCTGCCCCGACGCCCACCCTTGTCCGCAGGTGCGGGTTCCGCGGCGGCTACGTGGAGGTGGTGAACATGGACGCCGCGGTGCAGCAGCAGATGCAGAAGCTGATAAGTGTGCGGCTGTGCCCACCCCTGCCCGGCCAGGTCCTGCTCCACGTGGCGGTCAGCCCGCCCGAGCCCTCGGACCCCTCCTTCGCGCAGTTCCAGGCGGTAAGCAAGAGGGAGTGTGGAGGGGCGGTGAGCAGGCGAGGACTGCGGGGGCGTGGCGCCCCCTGACATGGCCTGACGGCCTTCGATCCGCAGGAGAGGCAGGTGGTGCTGGCCCAGCTGGCGGCCAAGGCCAAACTCACGGAGCAGGTCTTCAATGAGGCTCCTGGCATCCGCTGTAACCCGGTGCAGGGCGCCATGTACTCCTTCCCGTGCATGCAGCTGCCCCCGCGCGCGGTGCAGCGCGCTCAGGTGCGGCGCGGGGTGGGCGGGGCGAGGCTCGCGGTAGAGGGGCGGGGTCTGGGGCGCCCCGTTTTCACCGCCCGGCCCGCCCCTTGCCCGCCCCCAGGAGCTGGGCCTGGCTCCTGACATGTTCTTCTGCATGAGCCTGCTGGAGGAGACTGGCATCTGTGTGGTGCCTGGCAGCGGCTTTGGGCAGCGCGAAGGCACCTACCACTTCCGGTGAGGCCCGCCGCACAGCCCCGCCCTGCGACTCCCAGTGCTTCGCTTACCTTCCTCCCCTCTTTAGGATGACGATTCTGCCCCCCATGGAGAAGCTGCGACCCCTTCTAGAGAAGCTGAGCCAGTTCCACACCAAGTTCACCCGCGAGTACTCCTGAGTACTGCCGGGGACCAGGCCGGGCGACCCTGGACTGATGGAGCTCTGGGCCTTGGGAGGGCTTCTGAGCCTTCGGGACCCGCTGCCTGTGGGGCTGGGCTCCTGCCTCTCTGCAGGCCTCTAATAAAGCTGTGACGCGGCCTGACTGCTCGGTGGCCTGCACACCTCCCCCGCCTTTGTCTCCTGATTGCCCTTCTGCGCTGGGGTTCTGTGCAGGCCTGGGGACCCAGCCCTAAGCGGAACACTGGCCTGCCACCAGAAGTGGTCAAGGAGTGCTCCCAGAAGACGTGACCTGCTACAGCTCCAGTACCTTCCATGGGCTCAGGATGAAATCTTGGTTCTCCTAATTGCTACCTGGGGCTGCTGGTGGTGCAGCCCCACCAAGAGCAGGGAGGGGAACAGGACGAGCGGGTCTCACTCTGCCTGTGCTGTTTGAAGCGTGTAGTGGGTGTGTGTGACATCCCAGTGCAAACGCAGCCCTTGGGCTGTGGACAGGGAGAAGCGGCCTCCACAAGCTGGAGCACCGAGGGCAGGTGGGGGTGAAGAGCAGGTAGAGGCTGGGGCGAGCTGGACTGGGGCACCCAGCGGGGAGGGGGCAGGTGGTCAGCCCTGTGCCCTTGCCCCTGGAACACAGAGATGAGCACCTACTGTGTGCATGCCAGAAACTGTTGTGGGTCAGTGCACAAATGGTCCTTGGAGGTGGGCAGGGTAGTCCCTATTTTATAGATTTGGGCCTCCAAAATATGTAGAAATGACAGGAAACCCACTCAAAATGGCCACAGCGACTGAGGGAGTCGTTGGATCAAGTTCCTGCAGGTGGGTAGAAGGTTGGGCCAGCTTTAGGGACCCGGCCTTGGTGTCAGTGCTGGCCAAGGCCCCAGCAGCTTTATCTACTCAAGAGGCCATTCTCACCCACGGCCCATGCCCCACAGGCACAGCTCCGGACAGGAGGGGTCTCAGGAGACCCCCCACATCCAGCTTACCCTTGGACAGGCCTCTTGGCAAGGCCTGCCTGGCCAGGCTCTCCTGGCTTTGTCACTGGACACTAGAGGGTACTGCAGGCAGGAGCTGGCTGAGCCTGGGCACTGACCTTTGCACAAACCTACCTTCCATGGCCTGGGGAAGCTGCAGAAACCACAAGCTCAGCGGAGATGAGGGGAAAGGGGCAGACGTATGCTGGGGCAGGCAGTGGAAACTTAAGAGGCCAGCTCCTCCAACGAGGTTGCTGGGGAGACCCCCACAGCCACAGCAGCAACCAGGCTCCAGGTGAGATACCAGGAAGCACTTCTGGAGAGTTAGGGTCTGGGTCCAGTTGGTCTGGGGGCCGGATCTGATAACCCAGGGAGGCACCAGCATAGGTCCCGGTTTGCCGCTTCCTACGTTCGAGGCCGGCCCTCCCTGGCACCGCAGCTGCCCATGGCAGCCCCGCAAAGCAGGGCGGCCTGTGTCCGCGATTCACCGGCAGCACCCAGGTTGGCCACCGGGGGCGCCCGAGGACTGCCGGCGCTCTGGCCCGCTCGGGAGCTCTATGTCCCCGCGCGCTCAGCCGAGCGGTGCCGGGAGCGGAGGGCGGCCTGCGGTCCTGAGGGGTACGAGCGCATCCAGGATCCGAGGGCGCGAGTACGGAAGCCAGCCAGTACAACCCTAACGCCACCTGGCACAGCCCAAAGATCATGCTGCCGTGTGACGCCTGACCTCACCCTGACCGGACCAAACCACACGCGGAACCGCTCTGCCCTGACTGGGTGCGACCTCCGATCCCACCCCAGGCCCGGCCTTGAACTCAGCTCCAGCTACCAGAGCCTGGGACCGAGCCGACACGGAGCGCTGGCCATGCATGGGAAGCTGCTGCCGCTGGCCGGCCTCTACCTGGTGCAGGGCCTGCCCTATGGGCTGCAGTCTGGCCTGCTGCCCATGCTGCTGCGAGCTGGTGGCCTCTCCCTGACACGCGTGGGACTGACCAAGGTGCTGTATGCCCCGTGGCTGTTCAAGTTGGTGTGGGCCCCACTGGTGGACAGGCGGGGCTCCCCGAGGGCCTGGTTGACGCTCAGCACGGCTGCCCTGGGCCTGGTGTGTGGGCTGCTGGCAGCCCTGGCTCCTGTCCAAGCTGGCCAGGCCGGGCTGCCTGTCACCGTGGCGGGGCTGCTTCTGTTACTGAACCTGGGTGCAGCCGTGCAGGATGTGGCCCTGGACACGCTGGCCGTGCAGCTCCTGGAGCCCGGGGAGCTGGGGCCAGGCAACACTGTGCAGGTTGTCGCTTACAAGCTGGGGGCGGTGCTGGCGGGGGGTGGGCTGCTGGCCCTTGTGCCCGCCCTCTCCTGGCCCCTGCTCTTTCTGCTCCTGGCCGCCACCTACTGGCTGGCTGCTGTCCTGGCCTGGGTAGCGCCTGCCTTGCAACAACTACCCAGGCCTCCGCCCTCAGAACCAGCCCCCCACACCCTGCACCTTGGAGACTTGCTGGCCGTGTCTGGGACCCTGTGGACGATGGGCTTTGTGCTCACTTACAAGCTGGGTGAGTGAGGCTTTCAGTTAGGCAACAGCAGGGGTGGGGGTCGGCCCTCTTCCTGGGGTTGTCTGACACCCAGTTAACGGTGTCTCCCAGGATCTGTAGCCCAGGACAGGCAGGGCAATGACCTGGCTGGGGAGCAGGAGGCCCCAGGTGGGGGCAGGAGGTGGGCTGCCCTGCTCACGTTTTCCCCACAGGTGAGCAGGGTGCTGGCAGCCTGTTCCCACTCCTCTTGCTGGACCGAGGCTTCTCTACTCTGGAGCTGGGGCTGTGGAATGGTGTGGGCACTGTGGCTTGCTCCATTGCTGGCTCGTCTTTGGGCGGGGCCCTGCTGACCAAGCACTGGTGAGCCTTCCTGAGCCTGCCTAGCCCACCTGCTCAGCCCCTGATCTGCCCCACACACCCTGACCTGCCCAGTCTCCCCACCCCAGGCAGCTGCTGCCCCTGCTGAGGTCAGTTTTTTGGTTCTGTCTCGGGGGCCTGGCCTGCCAGACTACCCTCCTCTTCTACCTGGACACCCCAGGGGCCAGGCTGGGCCCTGGCACAGCTCTGAGAGGTGAGGGGCTGGCCTTGGGGGGAGGAGCATGGGCCCTGGGCCCTGCTGACCTCAGTCCCCTCAGGGGCAGCCTTGTTGAGCCTGTGCCTGCAGCACTTCCTGGGGGGCCTGGTCACGACCGCCACCTTCACACTGATGATGCGCTGCAGCCAGCTGGCACCCAGTGCGCTGCAGGTGAGAGGTGGGGTTGGGATGCTAGGGGCTGCAGGGCTGGGGTCCCACCAGGTCCTGACCTGATTGCCCCCCCGCCCCAGGCAACACACTACAGCCTCCTGGCCACACTGGAGCTGCTGGGGAAGCTGATGCCGGGCACGCTGGCGGGAGCCCTGGCCGACAGCCTGGGGCTGCCCCTCTGCTTCTCCTTCTTCCTTGCCCTCTCAGCCATTCCTATCGTGTACCTGGGCCAGGCGCCCAGCACCCTGGCCTGAGCTGGGCGGCAGGACTGGTCAATAAAGGCGAGCGAGAGTGGCCTGGCTGTGTCTGTTTGGGACACGTGGTGTCCTCAGGCTGTGGGCACTGCCCCACTGGAAAGGAGGATCCCTAAAAACAAACTGAGCATCTTTTATTCCGCATTTTGGGGCCTCCATGTCCCCACCTTCCTGGCAGTGGGCTTTGCCCAGGGTGGTTCACTGTCCTGGCCACCAGTGTCCCCTTGTTTTTGCCTCGATGAGCGGCTGCACCTGATGCCGTCCATACTGTGACACAGCCCTGCTCATGCCTGTGACGTGGGGGGGGGGCAGTCAGTGGCCCCACAGCAGGACCTCCTCAGTGGCCAGGCGCATCAGGGCATGGAAGCTGAGGTGCAGGTATCTTCTCCAGAAGCGCCGGTCCCGCCCATACACCTGGGCCGGGTAGCAGGGGCTTCCTGCAAGGGAATAGAGACCAAGGCCTGAGGACCGCCGCCTGGCACCCAGCCCACTCCTTTTGGGGCTAAGCCTCCCCAGCCTCACCGATGCCATGGAAGATGCGGGCCACAGCCCTGCCTGAGAACTGCTGCTCTGGCCATGAGGACAGGAAGTGACGGATGTCCTTGCGAATCTGGGGCTCCCAGTCCTGGAACTGCATGGAAAGGGGGGGTGGGCGGTGCAGTCAGGTAAAACAAAGCTTCCATGGCCCAGGCCCTCTGCCGCCCCCAGCAGAGCTGGCGCGCACCATGGCCTGTCCCGGCTCTGGGCCCTGCTCGTTGTGCATGTCCCCTGGCCCCTCCTCATGGAAGTAGTGGCCAAGCAGGGCCTTGAGGCTGGCACTGCGCTCCTCGTCCGGCTGCTCCAGGCATGGCCCGCAGCTGGGGAAGGCAACACTGTGGAGGACAAATAGAGCTGCAAGCTGCCCTGGATAGGGGGGAGCCCCGGGCCCTGCTGCGCCCCTGCACCTGTGGAATGCCTGGGAGACACGGTGCAGGCGGGCCAGGCCCTCGCACTCTTGGGCCTGCACGCGGCTGTACAGGAAGTCGCAGATCTGGTCCTTGTCCTGGGCTGT